CTCTGTGCCCAGGAGAGCAGCAGGAAGACCGCGTGCCTCACCCCCCAGCTGCTAGCCAAGCCCCTCCCAACCCACCGTGTGGCCTTGAGCTGGCGGGTGCTGCCCTGCGCCTCAGTCTCCCTGAATGTGAAGTCACTGTTGCCATCCTGCTGCGTAAGGACGAGCTGTGCCCGGCTCCCAGGGACACCGTGAGTGCCAGCCCTCAGAGGAGGGGCGCCAGGGAGGTGCTCTGGCCATGGCTGGGCCCTCGGGGGAAGGACCCCACAGAACACAGTGCTGGGCCCACTGTCCTCGGGGGAAACAAAGGGGTCTCAGCATAGCCGGAGCCCCCCTCAGATGTCACCCTCCATGTCCCCTTCTCAGACTGGCAGATCGAGGACTTGTTCCTGTCCCACACACCAGAGGGCTTGGAGGGGACGTGATTTGTAGTGGGTTGAACAGTGTCCTCCAAAATTCACACCAACCTAGGACCTCAGAATGTGGCCTTATATGGAAATGAGGTCTTTTTGCAGATGTAATTAGTTAAGAATCTTGTGATGAGCTCATCCCGGATTAGGGGGTCTAAATGCAATGACATGTCCTTACAAGAAAAGGAGAGGGAGGCTCGGACACAGACAGAGAAGGTGCCATGTGAAGACACAGGCAGGCCCTGAGCCAGGGACGCTGGAGCCACCAGGAGCTGGACGAGGCAGGAAGGAGCCTCCCCGGCAGCCCCAGAGAAGTGTGGCCCGTGCCACCTGGACCTCAGACGCCTGGCCTCTAGAGCGGTGGACAGCAGAGTCCTGCTGCTCCTGCACCCAGTCCTGGTCATTTATCACAGAGCCTGGGCACCTGTGTGTGCTGGAGACAGCGGACCCCAGGCAGTGCCTGCCCACGCCACTCAGACTGGCTCAGAGGGGAGGGGCCAGGCCTCTGTCTTCCTGCAGATGTGACCCTTGGGCCTGTGGAGGCCCAGGTAGGAGGTGGGTGGGGAAGCGCTGGGTAGCCGGGAGTGGAGGGGCAGACTGAAGCCCAGAGAGAAGTGCCCCACCCCTGGATACCACACACCTCAAGGGGACGTGGGCCAATCCCATTGTTCTCGTTCCTCCTAGGGGAGTGAGAACAGGTGGTGGAGGGCCTCCTGGAGAGGTACCCACAGCCAGGCTGACTCCAGACTCATCCTGCCTCCCTGGGCCTCAGCTTCCCCACTGAAAGGTGAGGCTCTGCAGGGAGCACAGGCACCTTCCAGCTCAGAAAGCAGCCAAGATTCTAGAAGATTCCCAAGGCAGGAGGAGGATGTGACAGCCCCTGTGAGCCTCAGAGCAGCCAACAGACCACCCAGCTGGACCCTGGACTCCACCACCCGGGTCCCTTAGTACAGCCACCCAGAGCCTCCCAGATAGACCTGAGATCACTTAGACCTATCAAATGGAGCCCAGCCTGGCCAATTGGTCCCTCCGCACTGGATTAAATGGGACAGTGACCCAGGCAGGGGAGGCGGCTGGGTGGCACGGTGATCGTGCAGCATGCTCAAGGCCCTGGGTTCGATCCCCAGCACCGAATAAATAAATAAAAATAACTTGGCCTACTTATTGTTTTGTTTGTCCCTGTCCCCGGGACTGCCGCAGTGCTGGAGTCTGCTCTCTGCTCGTGGGACAGCGCAGCTGCCTTGCTGAGCCCTGCGCAGCCGACCTGTTAGCTCAAAGCACTCTCAGAACCCAGCACACAGCAGGCGCTCAATACACAGTCAAGGGCCGGGTGAAGGGCGCTGAGAACAGTGAGACCCAGAGAGACAAGGTGGCTTTCCCCAGGGCGGCCACGCATGGCTGGTGGACTCCGGGAAAGGGAGACTGCAGTGGATTAGGCCGCCCCGGCAGGCCCTCTGTGGCTGCAGGGGCCACGTGCCCACGAAGCTGGTCTTGCTTCAAGGCCCAATCCCGATAAAGGACAGAGTTGGGATTTGAACTAGGGAAGTGCCTTGGAGCTGGGCACGTTGTGAAAGGGTCAAGTGGGAGTGGCTGGGTGGTCCTGAGCCCTGGCCCCAGTCTAGGGGCTACAGCAGAGGGGCCAAGGTCCTAACTGGGTCCCTGTCCTGGACTGTGTGCTGGCCTGCTCTACCACTGAGCCACGTCCCCAGCTATAGCCATTTATTGTTGTCTGACCCAGTCATTCCGATTTTGGGGACTTGTCCCAGGGAAGTAATAATAATAATAAAACCAGAAAAAATCAAGATGCCGACGTGGTGTCACCTACACAACAGCCGGCCAGGACAACTCTGGGCGATCCGACGGTCGTTACCGAGGGCTGACCCAGTGCCATCTCAAGAAACACCACCCCAGACCGCACAGGACGCACAGACCACCTGTGGCCGCCGGGGAGGAGGACGGAGGAGGACCGTCAGCTGCGGGGGCCTGTGGGGAGGACACAGGCAGGGCTCCAGGAGGAGGGGGGTCTGCCTTGGCTGGGCACAGGGCCAAGGCTCTGTGCTGGCACTGCCTACGCCTGGAGCCACCGCCATGCCCGTGTGGCCTCCAGAGGCCAAGGCAGGGTGGGCAGAGGCCTGCAGGACCAGAGCCAGCAATGAAAAATGGATGAGCTGCGCCCCGCTTGGGGGCCACTCCAGCACTCAGTTGAGCCAGCGCCGGCCGGAAGGCGGCCCTCTTAAAAGCTCCGGCCCAGAAGCCGTCAGCCTGCCGCCAGGCTCTCAGTCCTGGGGGGTGGGAGCGAGGGCTCAGGTATCAGCAGGGTCCCTGGCCCCCGGTCTGCTTCCCTGGTTGAGCCCTGCCCTTGTCTGAGAGGAACGTGGCTACTGGGTCAGCTCCAGGGGTGGTCCCTTGTCAGACGCCCTGACCTGACACCCAGAGGAGCTCACAAGTCCATCAGGAGGCCAAGCGGGGGACAGAACGGCCTCTCCATGCTGTGCCTCTGAAGCACCCCCAGGGCCCATGCCTTGCGGGAGGTGGTGGGGCTGGTGAGCACCTGGCTTCCCCCTCTCCCAGCCCTCCTGCCTTCCTGGAGATGAACAGGCTCCCCTCCCCTCCCCTGCCCCGGGCCGCTGCCAGGGAATTCTGAACCACATGGGCCCCAAGCAACGGGCCTGGTGACGACCCACCGAGGCTCTGAAGCTGCGGGCAGAATAAACCCTCGCTCCGCATAAGTCGTTCATCTCAGGAACTTTGTCACAGTGACGCAAGACGGACTGACAGGGTAGGCACAGGGGAAGGCCCTCAGGTGCACAAGGAAACAAGCTCAAGTGCAGAATCAAACACCGGGATCCACGGGTGTACGCCACCTCGTCCAGTTCATGGAGAGAGAAAGCAGGACAGCAGCAGCCGGGAGCGGGGGAGGGACCGGGAGTCGTGTTCAACTGTCCAGTCCCCGGCTGGGAACAGGATGTATTATTCCTGGAGGTGGGTGGGGCAGTTTATGCCACCGACCTGTACGCGTGTGTCACAGTTGAGGTGGTACATTTTACATTTCGTATATTCTACCACAGCTAAAGAACACAGCAGCAACACAGAGCTGTCCTGCGTGCCAACTCTGCCGGGCACTGGGGGGACCCAGTGGCCACCTTGCAGTCAAGTCTCCAAGACCAGCCCCCACTGCTCACAAATACTGGGCAACTCTCTCTCACCCTCCCTGGGCTCAGCCTGGGGACTCGGAGGGAACCGGGCCCTGGCCACGTGGGCTCCAGCATCCCAGCCCACTTTGCAAACAACACCCCAGTCCTCTCCAGAGGAACCTCTCTGTCCAAGTTGACCCGTCTGGGTGGCGCTGTCATTCAAGATGCCCCGCCCACTCGGGCTCTGGAGCGGGCCAATCAGATGCCCTCCTGGAGCGATTCCCGAGTCCGCGCCTGGCGCAGAACCTTTCCACCCCGCTTCATTTCGTCGCTCGTCGGGACTCCCTGAGCCTCCCTTTCTGGAACAGTGGCAGTCACAGCAGCTTGCCACCAAGACCCCGCGGGCTGCCTCGAGCTCCAGGCAGGGGCCACCGAGCCCGGTGCCTTTGATGAGAGCAGAAATAAAACCAGTCGGAGCAGCTGGCCCGGAACACACGGTGCAGCGAGTGCTGTGTTCTGGGCGCTCCCGGGGCGCAGGGCCTATTGTGGCCCCGATTTCACAGACCTGGAAGCCCAGGCGCTGGTTCCAGGGCTGCAGCAGCCAGGCGCAGGCTGGAGTGAGGCAGAGCTGTCTGCTGTGGCCCAGCACCTGGAGGACGGGGGCAGGGAGGAGGCCCAGCAGCTAGCTGCTGCGTTCAGATGCGGCTATGGGGTCTCGGCCACCACCCTGTGCACCTGGGACTGAGCGTGTCCCCACCTGGAAGACACTCCAGGGACAGCCGGGGTGAGACCAGCACAGCTCTCTGGAGCTAGTCAGGCCCTGGGCCTGCTGCACCTGGCCAGGGGCCGGCCAGGGTGGCTCTGGGACCTTAGGCTGGGAGAGGAGGGATGAGGGCTGTGTCACCAGGGCAGGACACAGAAGAAGGACAGCGTGGGCTCCTGGGCAGAGGTCTCTTGGGTTGGCCACACTGGTCTGAGGTGCCAAGGGCCAGGCAGATGCTGGACAGTAAGGCCACCTCCACCAAGACTACAAACACCCCTCACTGATTCTGTGTCCTTCTAGAACTTTCCCCTCCTGCCTTTGCTCTCAGCCATCCCCCAGCCATGACTCCCGTCTGGGCCAGCTCAGGCTCTGGTGTGTTGGGCGACAACCCGAGTGTCCAGCCCCTTCGCCGGGGCCTTCCTCCCTCTCCCCTGCTTGCCTGGGAGTGCCCTCTGGGGCTGAGATGGAGGCCCAAGGGCCCAGGGACTTCCCCACTGCTAACCACCAGTGAAAGGAAGGAGGAGGGCGCAGAGTCAGAGCAAACATTTACAGAGCACCTGCTGTGTGCAGGGCTTGAGCAGGGATGGTTTCCTGCCTCTCCCCTGTCTGGACAGCAGCCCTGGGCCTCCCTGGACCTGCCTCCCACCCCCATCACCCTCGAGACCCCCTCACCCGAGGGCAGAGCCTCCTGCTTACCTTTGAGGCAGGACAGTCTAAGCCCCATGGCGGCTCCTCGGTGGCCTGTGGAGAGAGGAGAGCACTCAGACAGGGCCCGGGGACCTGTTTTGTACTGGCCCTTCTGGGTGACAACAGGAAGCAGCGGGAGGGACACACCATGGGCCACAAGTCATGGCACCTGCTGACTACATTGGGCTGAATTTGCTCAAAAATGGAGTCTGCTGGTGGAGACTTTCAGGGGCCTCAAAGCTAGATATGCTGAAGGGCTGGTGGGCGGCAGCCGGCCGTGAAGGTCGAGGGGAGACCCAGGCTGGGGCTGATGGTGAGAACCAAGACCACCACACTTCTCCTTCCAGGGCCACAGAGCCATACGGACGGGGACCCTTGGGCCAGGCTGTGGCACTGGCAGGAAGCCAGGAGGGGGCAGGGCTGTCCCTCTTTTCAGTTCAGATTCTTGGAGGCCTAATGGGTTAAACCATAAAGGGGCACTGTCCCCAGTCCCTGGGAAACGGGAATTGTCCTAGCCCTGTTCCTTGGAATTCTGAGTAATTGGTGAGCCAGTGGTGCACAACAGGGACCCCAGCTACTCAGGAGGCTGGGCAGGATCACAAGTTCAGGCCACATATCAGTGAGCCCCTGTCTCAAAATAAATAAAAAAGGGGTAGGGAGAGTGGGAGAGCACGTGCCTGCCATGCTCAAAGCCCTGGGTTCCTTCTCTAGTACCAAGGTCAAAAAAAAGGAGTCTTAATAATTCATCCATAAAGATGCAGCCAGTGGCCTGGGGCCCTGCATGCTCCCGTCTCTCCACCTCAGGGACACTCTGCGAGGGACTCCTGCTGCCCCATTTTGCAGATATGGAAGTCAAAGCTCAGAGAGGTCGTGTCGGCTGCCCAAGGCCACCAGCTTAGTGGAATGTGGAGCTGGGAGCAAGGACTTCCCTGACTCTGGGGCTGGAGTCCCACCTGGCCGAGGCAGGGCTCGGTAGGCCCATCTGAGGGAGACCCAGAAGGGCCCAGGCAGCCCGGGCCCGATGGCAAGTGAGGGGGCTGGGACAGGGCCAGAGCAGAGGAGCCTGGAGAGGGTCTCCTGAGGAGGTCAGCTTCCTGCTTGAGGAAAGTGCTAGTGGACACCAGTGGGCCCCAATCCGACTGACACTTCCGGCCTCCTGCTCCTAAGGGGGGCCCAGTGGAAAAGCTGAAACGGACAGTGGACAGAGGGAGCAGATGAGGAAAGGAGGAGATTCTAGAGACCACCCACCCCCACCGACTCCCAGCTCGGAGGCCCCTTCTCTCTGCAGAAGTCTGTCCCTGTCACTTGGGCACTGAGCCTGCTGCTTGCTTGCCGTCTCTGTGTCCTGTTCTTGGCTGAACGGAGACCATGAACCCAGCAGCCCTAGATGGCAACACACTCAGAAAGGGGAGATGCTGCCACCCTGAGGGGTCCCCTCCTCTAGAGGCGGCCTGGCGCTGAGCACGTTCTTCATCCACGGAGAGCGGCCTGAGTGCCAGGCTCTGGGCCAGGTTGGCTGGTAGAGGCCCCATGACCCCTCGTTGTCCTCTGATGGCACAGTGGCCTGGGGTGCTCCTGCTTCCTCCCTGACTCCCTGTTGCTGGGGTCAGCCCTGCACCCCTTTCCAACTTTCTCCCGGCCTCCCCACCCGCAAGGAACATCTAGTACAATTCCCACCCTAACCGCTGATCTTGGAGGACCCAGACCACCACAGGTGGGCACATGGCCACAGAGGGCACCACTCCAGAATCTGCCTGCTCACATTGGCAGATGGACAGGTAAACCAGCCCCACAGGGGCAGGTGGGGCAGGGCAGGATGCCATCCTGTGGGGATGGAGGAGAGTTTGGCTGGACCCAGGGCTGGCATCCCCAAATATAGGCAGGAGTGACCCAAGCAGGGCACAATGCTCTGGAAGCAGGAAGAGATTGTGAAGGTCCCGGGAGGACAAAGGTCTGTGGGAGGACCCAGAGATGGGAGGTCAGGGCGGGCTCAGGTGGGGGAGCCGGGGGTGAGCCTCCAGTTTCCGGAGGCCACTTACAGCCTCCAGATGTTATTCTGAGGACATTGAGGAGCAAGTCTGCTAACCCAGGGCCCCAGCCCCTTGTCTGCAGGTGGTGGCACTGTGGAGCCAGAGTCAGTGTTTTAACGAGGCCCCAGGGACGGGGCGCTTGCTAAGGCCCAAGGAGTGTGAGTGGTGGGGAGCCCAGTGTGGCCAACGGCAGGTCCACAGGTGGCAAGCCCGAGATGTCCACTGGAAGATGGCCTGGGGGCCTGGGAGAAGGGGGAGAGGTGACAGGCAGGTACTGGTGGGGCAGGTGCAGGCCTGAGGCCTGTCACGTCAGGCGCTGGCCCTGCTGCGGTCCTGCCACGCCGGGCGGCACAGACCTGGCTCTGCGGCTTGGGCACATTCACACCCCACACTTCACCTGCCTCATCTGTGAAGTGGGGACTGCCTGGCCACACGCCGCGGTCACTGCTGCAGCGCACGTGAGCAGTGAGTGTCAGGAGGTGAGGACGGGGTCCCTGCTGGACACACAGCAGGAGGATCTGGAGGGGGGAGGCAGAGGCTCCTGGCAGCCGGGCCTTGGTACGGCACTGTCCACGTGGACTCTGGAGCAGCGGCCTGGACGCCCCGCAGTCCGGGTCCCCTGACCCAGGATCTGCACTGTCACCACAGCGAGGGGAGGAGAGCGCTGTGGGCACTGACCACTGAGAGCTTTCCCAAACCCTGCCTGGGCTCACCCCCAGGGGGCCTGGGTGATGGGTCTGGGGTGTGGGCTGGCACCGGGTTTAAAAGCTCCCGGGGATTCCAACGTGCAGGAGGAGACATCAGGGAGGGGAGGGCCCCGCCTGCAGGAAGGCCCAGCTCTGGAGCCTTCGTGGTGACCACTTTGTGTCACCTGCGGTTAGGCCACCCTTCCAGCCACCCCACCAGCCTGGGGTTGCTCCTATCCCCACTTCACAGATGGGGAATGAGGTGAGGGAGGTGAGTTACTTGCACAGGGCCGTGGGGGCTGCAGCGTGGAGCGAGGGCTCAACCAGCGCTTCCGACTCTTCCCACCACCAGGCAGCGCGAGATCATGGGTCCCAAGAAGCACAGAGCCCCAGGAGTGGCGTGGTGGGCGCACCCCGCCTGTCCCCGCTTGCCCTCCCTGAGCTGGGTCTCCTGTCCCTGAGGCTGCCCGCCCTGCCCCGGGCCCCGCAGTCCTGACACGTTCAGGCCCCGAGCTCTGGCCTAGGGAAGACTGTGCTGTGTGGCAGCAGCAGCACCTCCCAGAAGGACTGTCCCCAACTGACAGGCTGAGTCCCCGGGGCTGACCTGCAACTGGAACACTGCCTATAGGGAGACCCTCGGGGACGAGGCCAGGGAGGAAAGAAGAGGATGGGGACCAACAGTGGCTCTAGCCTGGTGGCACTGGAGACCCAGAAACTGGGCCAGGTCCAGCAGACACAGCATCAGGGGCTCGTGTCCAGGTGACAACTTAGGCTTCCTGCTGGAGGGTCCCGTGTGGCTCAGCCATCTGGGCCCAGGCTGCCGTGTACCACGGTGCCACCACCTCTGACCAGGACGCGCGAAGGCAGTGGGCAGGGGAGCGGCTGGGAAGGCGAGGAGAACATGCTGGGCTCAGTGTTCTCGTGTGCCACCTGGGCATCATGCCACCAGCCTCCAGGACAGGGCTGGATGATCTGTCACTGTGGCCTTCCTCATGTCATCATCCCTGCCACCATCCTTGCCATTGCTATCACTGGGATTGTTATCGTGTAGAGTCACCAGGCACCTTCAAGGTGCTGCACAGAAGACCATGAGACCCTGCAGCGCGGTCCCCACTGAGTCGTTCTGGGGACAGGCATGCATGGAGGGAGTGTGGAGCTGCCCCACTCCTCGGTGACAGGGCCAGCCCCTGTGGGACTCAGGTGCATCCATATGAGAGTCCCCGGGTGACCTAAGGGCCTGGGAGCAGGAGCTGAGGCTCAGAGGTGAGCTGGGCCTCCAGATGTAATTCTGAGGACGCTAGGGAACGAGTCTGCTCACCCAGGGCACAGGGACCCTGCATGAGGGTCACCTTGCTCCCCACCACCTTCCTGGACGCAGCTGATGGGCGCCAAGCTCACTCTCTCGGAGGCCGTCCTGGGCTGAGTATCCTCTAAGAACAACTCCTGACCTGACAAGACTGAAAAGGAGCTCAGGTGCGCAGCCCTCACGGCCAGCGGAGGGAGCTGCAGCCCTGGACTACGGACTCCAAAGCCGGGGCCATTCCCGCGCTGAGCTTTGGCGCCATGTCCTGCGAGCCCCCAGCTCTGTATTGTTTGAACTTACTACCCACGAAGACACATTGAAGTCAGAAGGAATGGGAGGGGCCCGAGCGTGGCCAATGGCCCAAGAGTGAGAGGAAGGGACACCTGTGATCCCAGCTACTGCAGGAGGATCCAAAGTTCAAGGCCAGCCTGGGAAACTTAGCAAGACCCTGTCCCAAAATAAGAGAAGACAAAAGGCTGGGGACGAAGCTCCCCATGGGCTCCAGCACATGGTGGGGGCCCTGTCGCCCAGCACTGGGGTCTCTTCACACGTGTGCAGGGGGTGAGCCCGCCCTTGGTGTTTCCTTCTCTTTAAACCCTGGGAGGCTGGGGAGTGCACCACAGTTTCCCATCAAACAGGCTTTTCCTTGCACAGAGGGATAGTAATCTCCCCACACCAAATGGCCACAGGACTGTCCAGTGATAGTGGGTAATATACAAACCAACTTCCTCCTGCAGGGGTCCCCCTGACAGGGCGAGGGAGCACACCACACAGTGGCACTGCCAGGGAAGGGCGCTCTCCCAAGCTGTGGCCACCTTGTCCCAGCAGCCGTGGAGGAAGGAGCCACAGCTACCAGCCCACAGTGGTGGCCATGCCAGCTTGCCTGCCAGGTTTTCAGCTCAGACAGAAAAGTAAAACAAGGAGTTTGCCAAGCCCTAAGATGTGGCGGTGAGGTCAAGGCACGGAGCCGTCTGCTGGTGGGGTGACCCTGCTGTTAGAATCCCGGCCTCGCTCAGTACTTTGGTGGGTCCTGCAGGTTCAGCTCCAGTGGCTGAGATAAGCTCTCCTGGAATGAGTGGGACACACCCAGGGCTGGAGGGGGCTGGGGTGCCAGGGCAAATGGAGCATGCCCATTTGGGGCACATGCACCCTAAGAATCAGGCACTGTTGATCTGCACTTAAATTTGGCTGAGTGTCCCTGTTTCCCTTTGCTGAACGTGGCCACCCTAGCAGAGGTGGGTTCTGATGTCTAGGTGGCCCAAAGAAGAAACTGAATGCTCAGGAGGGAAAGTGACAGATGGCAGTCAGACTGGAGCTCCACCTGGCTTGGTCTCTGCAGAGCCACCTCCCAGATGAAATCAGAACAGGCCTACAGAGGTGGTGAGTCACCTAGCCCCACCTCCTTAACAAAGACCTTCTTCAAGGACCAGGGGGTGGGGGAAGAGTCAGGGCTGAGGAACGTGTTAAAGCCTAGGTGGGTGGACTTGGTAGGCAGAGAAGGTTCCATGCCAGCTGGGGAAGGCTGGCCGGGACCCCACCTGTGGACTCCTGTCCTTGCCACACACACAGAGAAGGGTGCGGACCACACCTCTGCATCTCGGTTTTCTTTGGAAAAGGCACTTCCTCCTTGCAACGGGATTAGAATCTCTGCAATTCCAGGCCAAGGGCTGTGCTAGGGACAGATGCTGGCACCAGATGCCGCCTCCAGGTCCACAGAGGGCATACCCGATTCTCAGCAGGAGGACCTGCAGGAGGCCACGGGCCCCAGGGAGGCTGGCAGCTGCCTGGCCACAGCCTGTCTCCAACAGGAGGAGGGGGCAAGGTGCCCACTGAAACCCTACTGGGGCCTGGGTCTCGGCCTCCCACTGCCCACACCCCCTCTGGGCCACTGTGATGGCTCCACGCTTGGGCTGCGCACACCTTTCTGCATGTTGCAGGCCAATGAAAACATAGGTCAGCCAAGGAAGCACATGGACGCAAGAAAAAAGTGTCCTTTGTGCTTTCTGTCTGTGGACTGTGGAGCCACAGTGGACAGGGCACAGGGGAGGAGAGCACTTTTGGAAGTCCGGTTACTGCTGGTGGGGAAGGCAGCACGGCTAGGAGGAGCATGGGGCCACATGTTCTGCCTCTTGGTCTGGGGTTCACGTGTGTTGGGTGTGAATTACTGTGTGTTGTCCCCCACTGATCTGTGTGAAGTCAGGACACGGAGCCGTCTGCTGGTGGAGTGACCCTGCTGTTAGAATCCTGGCCTCGCTCAGTACTTTGGTGGGTCCTGCAGGTTCAGCTCCAGTGGCTGAGATAAACTCTCCTGGAATGAATGGGACACACCCAGGGCTGGAGTGGCTGGGGTGCTGGGGCAAATGGAGCATGCCCATTTTGGACACATGCACCCTAAGAATCATGCACTATTGATCTGAACTGTGTGTGTGTGTGTGTGTGGTGCTGGGGAAGGAACCCAGGACCTTGCACATTCTTAATCTTTCTAGGGTTGGGGCTATAGCTCTGAGGTAGAGCACTTGCCTAGCATGTGCAAGGCCCTGGGCTTGATGCCCATCTGTGAAAAAAAAATAATAAAAATTTTAAAATAGTGCATGTGTGTGTGTACCTAAAGTCATTCCACTGGGGCTTACACTCACTGGTCCACAGGCCTGGCTGGGCCTCAACCATAGACAAAGGCCCTTCCCTGCAGGGCTCCAGGGGAGCAAGGCCTCATGGCGTGGGTCAGTCACTGTACCTGTGCAGGCCTCTGTTTCCCACCTTTAAAGCAGGGATAGGAACAGAATTTGGTCAGGGGTCTGGTATGAGGTTGTGAGCAGAAACCAGGGTGGCACAGGAAAGTGCCAGGTAAGCACCAAACAGCCCTGATCCAGGCGTCAGCCGGAAGCTCCCTTTCACACTGAGGAGGGACCTGACCTCTGCTGGGGGAACCCTCCTCCTGCCTGAGCCCCCCACTGGCCCTCCAGCACCAAGGGCTTCCAGGCAGAGATTAGGCGGGAGCTCTGGCCTCCTTGGGCTGGTGAAGGGATTAGGTCTTTCCATAAATACTCAGCCTCCCTCCCAAGCAGAGGACCAGTACCCAGGGGTGGGGACGCACAACATGAGGTGGGCGGGGCCTGGACAGGTAAGGGTTGCTTTCTGTGGTTAGTATAGCCCAGGACAGGGCCTCCTGGAAGTGGGGAGACGGGTGTTGGAGACACCAGAGCCTGCTACTCAGGGTGCGTCTCTCTGAACCTCAGTTTCCTCATCCATCAAATGGCTGTCCTTCCACCAAGCCTGTCCAATCTCAGAAGTGCCTGGGCAGGGCTGCCTTTCCAGCCCTCTTGGCGGTGCCTCCCGGCTGCTCAGCCTGCACGGACTGCTGCCTTGATTTCCATCACTGTCTGACAGCCAGAGTTCCCACCGGCCTTTAGACCCCGCCCACCAGTCTCTGGGGAGCTGCGGGTACCCTTTTAATGAGCGCCTCCCCCAGTTCCGCCAGAGCTCAGCCAGCCAGGAGAGGTGCGCCTGCGTTCACACTGGTCGCCCTTTGCGGTTGCAAACCTGCTTTGATGCCCTGGGAGCGCAGGGGGCCCCTAAGTGAGGCGGTTCATAAATAATACATTTTGAAATACTCGATAGAGGGGAAATGGTTCCTCCCGAGGCCGCCGGCCCCCGCCCCGCGCCGGCTCTTTGCCATCTTTCAGGAAAGGCGGTCTGGTCCTTTCCCAAGGAACTCGTGACAGCGCGGGCTGTCAGGTGGAGAGAGGGGCCAGAGGCAGCCACGCGCAGGGACACACCCCCGCCGCTGGTATAAGTGGCAGCGCGGCCAGAGGGGGCCCAACTTTCCCGAAGCCAAGGTCTCCGCAGCAAAGTCTGCGGGAAGTAGGGGGCGTCCCCACCCTGCCCGGGCCGCGCCCCTCCCACCGCGCGCTCTTGCGGGGCGCGGACCCGGGTCCCAGCCAAGGGATGGGGTTGCCGGGGCAGCGAGGCGCGCGGCGCGGAGCACTCACCGCTTCCTGGAGGGCTCACGGCCGAGCCGCGCAGGGCCCGGCACGCTGGTGGCGGCCAGGTTCGGGGGGCGGCGGCCACAAGCCTGCAAGAGAGAGCGGCGGGGGTCATGGCCCGGCCCGCGCTCCCCGGCCGCCGCCTCCGTGCGCACGCCTCCCCGCCCCGCGGCACCTGGAGGGCGGCGCTGACTGCGGTCCGCCCCGCCCCGGCCCGCCGCTGCCCTGGGCGCCGTGATTGCAGCGGCCCGTGGGGCGGAGCGGTCGCCACCGCCTCCCTGGGGAGCCGCCAGGACCCGCCTGCCCGGCGGCCCGCTCCCCTGCCCGCTTCTCCCCGGGGAAAGTTTGGGCCACAGCCTGGCGGCTCCCCACCGTGCGCCCTTCCCCGACTCGCGCGAGCTCCCTGCCCGCAGCTCCGCAGCCTGGGTGGTGAGAAGGGGCGCCTGCCAGGGTTCCTCGCCCACGCCTTCGCCTGGACTGCGGAAAGGGGAGGGATGCAGAGGGGACACTACCGTCCATCATCCCCCAGCCCCTGAGGATAATCTGTGGCTCAGGACCCTTGTGATCATCCCGGGTTGGGGCCGACACTCTGTTCTCCACACAGGCCTCTTCACCCGCCTCTGGGAGTGAACCTGGGTCGAGTGGCTGCAGACGAGGGTGGGGTCATCTGCGGGCCCCCAGGCCTGCAGGCTTTCGATGATGACCCACTGGCACTAGCTGCCCAGGTCCCCCCCAGTGTATGCAGAGGCCCTTCATCCCAGGGTTTCTCAGGAGGCACCCCTTCCCTGGAGGCCTCTGTAGACACTGCCTAGCTCAAAAAGAGGGAGAAGAAGGACCCCTAACATGTTTCTCATGTCACTGTCACAGCCTGTTGTGCCATCCCCACCTACAAACCTAAGCTCTCCACATCCTGTGCTCTGTGTGCATATGGAGCTTAGAAGGGGAAACAGAGTCCCAGAGCAGGAAAATGACATTCCTTTGGAGAATGTGGGGAGGGATTGCAGGAAGTGGAGTCAGCATTTCCTAGCCCTGTGTTCTTGCTTTAAGTCACTCCAACAAATAGAAGGGGACAGGGTTAGACAGTATGCTCCTTCCCCACTGTCCCCACCCTCCCGGAAGGGATGGGAACTGCTGGTGCATGCCTGTAATCCAGCGACTTGGGAGGCTGAGGCAGGAGGATTGTGAGTTCAAAGCCCCCTCAGCAATTTACGGAGGCCCTAAGCAATTTAGCAAGACCCCGTCCCAAAATAAATAATAAGAAGGGCTACAGATGTGGCTCAGTGGTTAGGCGGCCCTGGCAATCCCCAGCACCAAAATAAATAAATAAATAAAGGAGGGATGGGGTCTGCAGTTGGCCTGTGCCATTGGCCCCCATGTGTCCCCAGGGGAGACCTGTGCAGAGGAGCTCAGAGACCTGGGGGTGGGGGGGTCCTGATGAGCTGAATGTGGGCATTTCAGGGCAAGCATTATGCCCCTGCTGTGTGCTAAGGGCTTCACTGGGCATGGGCTGCTTGTGCCGAGGCCTGGAAGCACAGCTTCTCGTGCGGTCATCTGTAGCCTCCCAGCCATGCTGTCCCCAGGTCGGCGCCCTGTGTAGGATTCATATTTGTCTCCCCCTGCACTGCTGGTTCTTGACTTTCTCCCCGGGGCTCCTGGTGCCAGAGTCCCCAAGAGTTCCTGGGCCCCTGGAAGTGCACCACCGCTCACAGGTCCTGGGTGGCCAAGGGTCCTGTATCCAGTTCTTCCTCAGAAGAGCTATGGGCAGGGTTGCTCTGAACTGTGTCCTCTGGTGGTGGCAAGGGAGATATGAGGAAGCCCCCGGGGACCAGGCACAGTCCCTGTGCTGTTCTTGTTCCAGAAGGGCAGGAAAGGATGAGGAGGACATTTCTGCAGCAGAAAAGCCCTGAGCAGGCTGAATGCTCAGAGCACAGAGCTTTGCCCTCGGGGGAGGGTGTCCAGCTCCTCAAAGGAGAGGAGGGGTCCTTTCATTCCCACCAGTAACGACCCCGAGGGCATATTGTTTTCCCAGGTGGCCCATGGCCTGTCTGGCTCTGCCTGGCTCTAGTCCTGGGCTCTCCTAACAGCCCCCAGTCCTGCTGGAGAAGGGGATGCACTTCAGAGGAGCAGGAGTGTGTGTTGTCACCTGCATGGTGCTGAGCCCGGAAGGGAAAGATTGAGACTCATCTGCCCCCTCTGCTTCTGGAGGCTTAGGATTTGTGTCATAGCACAGGGCTCCAGGTGGGCCCTACCACTTTGGGTCCCATCCTTACCTGAGCACTGAGGGACACTGAGCTTCTCTGGCTCCTACCCACCAGGTACTGGTAGCTCCATCCCCCAAAGTTGTAACAATCAAGAACATCTCCAGACATTGCCAGGGTCCTTTGGTTAAGAACCCCCCAGTATTTTTCAGGGGTTCCCAGTCCTGGCTGTATGCCAGAATCCCCTGAGGAGCTTAAAACCAATAAATGAAAATGAATCAGATCGCTCAGGTCCTGGTCTTGCTCCAGGGGTGGACTTAATTGTTCCAGGCAGGTCCCAGGCCCAGGTTTGCAAAACCTTCCAGGTGAGCCAGGTATGGTAGTACACACCTGTAGTCTCAGCACTCAGAAGCCCGAGGCAGGAGGATCACAAGTTCCAGGTCGGCCTGGGCAACTTAGAAAGACCCTGTCTCAAATAGAAAGTGAAAGAGAAAGCGCTGGGGTGCTGCTGGGGGTGCAGCACTAGCCTTGCGTGGGCCCAGCTCTGGATTCCTTCCCCAGCACCTCGAAAGAAAAAAATAAAATCCCGGGTGATGCTGACAGTCTGCTGTGCCCGAGATCAGAGGGTCCAGCCTCAAGAGCCTACCTGGGCTTCGCTCCCGGCAGCATCCTGCGGCGGCGGCTGGGAATCATGTTGGAGTAAGTGTGGGTGCGTGTGTGTAGGCCACAGGAGCGCCCACCCTGGGGAACATGGCCTGCTCTTGAGGTGAGGTGGTGCTGCTGCTGCTTGTAGGGCCCATGAGCTCTGAGAGGAGGGTGGCCTCACTTGCCCACCCTTGGAACAGCCACAGGGAGGCTGAGAGCAGCCTGAGGGGAAGCCTGCGAGCCACGGCCCTGGAGCCCAGGCCAGTGCTGCCCCTGCACTAGATCAGAACCCCCTGGAGTCTAGGGCCAGGGTTCCTCAAGCATGGCCCTGTGGTGGGGCCTCTGAGCATGCCCTCTGTCCTCAGCCCTGAAGCTCCCCCCGCAACCAGAGCAGGGCTACAGAGGAAGCACAAGAGGACCCATTGGGCAACAGCTGCCCTCCCTTCGGGGATTAGGGGCTCAGGCAGTGACCTCCTATGGTGACCCCTCAAGTTCCAAACTCACTGAACAGGGACCCTGTACCAGGAAGACCCTGCCCTCGAGGACATCAGAGTCTGAGTACAGGAGTTTTAGAGAGGGCAGTCCAGGAAAGGACTGAAGTCCTAGGTCAGGGCACAGCTCAGGGGCAGAAAGGAACCCTCCCACTCCCTGAAATGACCTTCCTGCTGCTTCCCTCCACCCAGGTGGTCCCTGTCACCTTTGTAGCTACGAGCAAGTGCCCTGTGCCAGTTTGGAGCCACATCCTGTAGGTAGCCAGTCCCTTGGGCCAGGGGCCCTGTCTCCTGAGAGCAGGCAACCCTCAAGTCCTTGTGCTCGGCCGCCATTGAGCACTTAGCATCTGGGACGGAGCCTGTACCAGGTGTGCATCAACAGATGTCACAGACACACGGAGGTGTGCGTGAGAGAAAGCAGGACCGCAAGTCCTCGGGTCCCCGGGGGCCAGGAAAGCAGATGCAGCCCAAGTAGAGAAGCAGATGCCAGGGCCCGTTCCCAGAGGAGACCATCTGCCAAGTGCCAAGCAGCGGCTGCCTGGGAAGCCGCAGGAAGCGGCTCTGTGTGGCCTTTTGCCCAGGAAGGGGAGGCTGGTCCCATCTGTGTGGCCCCACTCTGTGCCCCCGCAGTTTCCAGTGCCATAAGTAGCAGGGTGGATGCTGAAGTGGGGGCTTCCCATGGGGGGAGGGGGACTGCACAGAAGAGGGACCATGCTGAGGGAAGAGGAGGGTCAGGTGTGCAGGTCATGGACACTTCAGGACAGGCCCTGGCCTAGCCTAGCCTAGCTCAGAACAGACTCCAGTGTCAGCTATGGGTGGACAGCGGGGGTCCCGTGGGAGTGAGAAGCTCTGGCCCTCCCGGGCCACCCACCCTGGTTCAACCTCCCATGTCCAGGAGTGCCACCGACTCACACCCACTTTAGAAGGATTCGGACACAGAGAGGCCCCCATCATTTCTGGGAGGGGTCACAGAGGATGGAGCTGGGGGAGACCATCTGTCCATTCACAGCCCCAGCAGTTTCCACGGCATGTCCACTGAGTGTGGTGGCAGGTTAAAGAGGGCTGACCGTCCTCCATTCCTCTCCCCATCCAGAGGCCGGGCTGATTCCCTGCTGCGGAATGTGGGCTGGCCCCAGGATGAGTAGCAATGGAATGGCACAGAAATGGCACTTTGTAGTTCCAGAACTGAGCCTTCGGGATCCTGGGGGCTTCTGCATCCTGTTCTTGAATGCTTGCTCTTGTGTGCCCCAAGTTCATGTTGACAGCCCATCCCCCCGTGCCTGTGAAAGAGGCTCCCGGGAGCTCCTTCCTCCTGCTGTGGGAAGACCCGGGGAAGGTGCCATCTTGGAAGCAGAGCAAACCCTCATCAGACTCTGAATCTGCTGGTCCCTGGATCTTGGACTTCCAGCGTTTTTGTTGTTTATAAAGTACCCACTGTAATTATTTTGTTACTGCAGCCTGAACAGAGTCAGAGAAGAGGCTCCTTCTTGGGACCCAGCTGCCGTGCTGAGGGGTGCCTAAGCCGCTGGGAACACTCCGCCTGAGCTCCCAGCTGACGACAGTCATCGAGTCTACTATGCGGGTGTGCCAGCTGCCACTCCAGCCCAAGAGGGCATCCCATGACAGCAGGTCCTGCCAGTGCGAGGAGCTGCCTAAGAACCACTGGCCAAGACTGGGCAGCCACAGGACTGGGAGGAAATGGCTGTGGTTCCCAGCTACAAAGTCTTGGGATATTTGCTACACAGCAAAAGACAGTTGAGACAGCTCCTTTTGGGTGCCAGGCAAAGATGCATTCCAAGTTAACAACGTTTCTTTAAACGTTGTTAAATCCAAACAAGTTAGGGTTACAAAGTGGTTTTAACGGCAGCTAGATTCTCCCTGCACTGGGGGTGAGCCCAGGGCCTCACACATGCTGGGCAAGGCTCAGCACTGAGCTATATCTCCAGCCCTTTTTATTGTTATCTTGCGACAGGGTCTCACTGGGTTCCCCAGGCTGGCCTTGAACTTTCAGTTCTCCTGCCTCGGCCTCTGGAGTATCTGGGATTGCACAAGGAAACGTACCCTTCATGTTTCTTACCCAACTGGAGGAAACCAAGAATCTGCTCTATGTCCTTGGGGTCTTTCCCTTAGAGATGTGGTGTCCGTGTGGGGCCAGGAGAATCTGAAACAGCGTCTGCTGGACTCATCAGGTCGGCAAAGCAGGCCTCCCTTAGCCACCCCGGGAGCAGCCGTGGGGAGAGAAGCAGCAGGGTCTGGGATCCACTGACCTGGGCCCATGAGCCCCTCATGGGAGGTGTGGCCTTGAGAAAGTCACTGTCTCTCAGAGTCTTGGTGTTCCACCTGAGATGAGGGGAGGTGCACTGGTCCCGAGGATGGAGTGAGGGTGAATAGTGAGCGAGAGACCAGCACCGTGGGTCAGAGCCCAGACCACGCAGGGGCACCCGCGTCCAGCTCCTCGAGTCCCACCCACTGATGGACTCCGAGGCAGCGCTGCTCGACCCTGCAGAGGAGCGCCTCACTCTGCTGTTCCGAGGCACAGGTCGTGGGCCTGGGTTCCTGCCCAGCATCTGGCTGGAACACTCACCCAGATGCCCCTCAGTGTACGCTGTCGATGAGGGCTGTGCCCTGCAAAATCAGGTGTAGAGCGACACCAGAAAACAGTCCCAGGAGCATCCAGGCCATTGCACCCCACAGAAAAAACAGCACTCTGCAACAGCGGAAGTCACAGGAACTGATGGCCACTCCCTCAAAATAGAGCTAGTCAGACAGCGCCACGAGAAAAGGTAGCCGAGCCCAGCTTGGAGTTATTGGAGTCAGCACCCACACATCACATCTCGGATGAAGGACCTCTGGGGCCCTGAGGCGAGCAGCCGGGAGGGGAGGTGGTGCTGGAAGAGATCAGGAGCCGGCGCGAAAGAGGAAGAGCCAAAAAACAGAAGCAGAGCTGCGTGGTGGGAGGGGAGAGGAAGGCCACAGGCCTGCGTGGCAGTCACCCCCTCCCACAGAGGGACAAGGCTGGTGAGGGAGGGCCAGCTGGCCACATCCCCTGTGAGTCCCACACATCTGGAGCTCCAGCCACGCTGGACACATCTGCTCCTCCTCAGCACCTGCATCCTGCCCATCTCCTGCCAGTGTGGCAGTCTGGAGCGGACAGGAGCCCTCTGCCATCAGAGTTTGCAGGCCAGCAGAAAGCAGGAGTGGTGGCGAGATCAGCCTGCAGAAGCCAGGCAGGTGACGGAGTGTGGGCAGCACCCGGCAGGCAGGTCAGCGGTGGCCTGGCAGCCAGCAGGCTCAGGCATGTGGACGCTGCAGCCAGGGTGGGGCGGGGTGGAGCCCGGAGGTACCTGGAAAGCCACTCTGTTCTGGGAGAGTGTGGATGGGAGTGGGGCAGAGAAATCAGTCTGGGCTGGGGTTGTGGGGGAGAGGACAGCACCTGGGCCAAGCTCTCCAGGAGCCCATCAACCTGCCCCAGAGCTGCGGGGAAAGCAAACCACAAGAACCCCGAGAGGGCCCTGCAGCCGGGAGAGGGAATGAGGAGACCTCGGGTGCGCTCTGGAAGGCAGGCGGACTGCACTCCCCTGTGCACAGAGCATCCCTGGAAGGTTCCAGCCGTGAGAAAGGCGGTGGCCCCAGAGGTCCTGGCCGTGCTGCCCTGCCCTTTGCTTCTGAAACAAGGATCACAAGAACTGTCACCTGAGGAAAAGTTAAATAAGCAAGCGGCAAGGCAGAAGCCGAGGACAGTGTGTTTGAAGACTGGGAAACTTGTGCCTCACCAAATTTGGTCCTGCTGACAGTTTCAGGACGTTTGAAAGCAATGCAAGCTTAGCTGGTGAGCGAGCGTTCCTGAGAGTGCACCGTGTCCTGCCTCAGCCGACCGCGATAGCTAAGTCACGTTTCGCCGAACACTGCCATTTCAAACCGAAGACCGACGACATTGTTTTTCCAATGTTCAGAACAAAACCATTCAATGATGGGTTTAGGTGGGATTCTTCCAAGCTCACTGGCCCTGGGGTGGGACCGCCCAAGCAAAGCATTTGGAGGCCCCAGCCTGGCTGGGGTGAGGCCATGGTGTGGGAGGTTGAAGTGGGGGGTGCAGCTCAGGCGGGCATGTGGGACGGGATTGGTGGCCACTGGATGTGGCAGGGGAGGGAGGAATTGAGGACGGCTGCAAGATTTCAGCCCACGGAGGTTCGGTTTGTTGAATTAATTTTCATATCACCCAAATCGGGAAATAGTGGGTCTGGGAACCACGTTGACAAAGATGGGTGCCCCAAGGATGGGTGCCCCATGAGCTGAGGAGCCAGGGGCTTGTGAGCAACAGGCAGGAGAATGATGTTGCCCGTCACACACTGAGGTGTCCTCCAGGGACAGTGATGTCATCTATTCAAGGGCACATCCTCACCTGTCCACACCTTGACAGGAAGCCAGGAGGCAGAGCCAGGCAGAGGGGCATAGATGACCAAAGCCAAGGTCAGAGGCCACCCACATCCGGGCATGAGCTGACCCCTCCCCTTGGCCGTACCTTACAGGTACCGTGGGTGCAGGCCCAGCATGGCAGGTGGAACTGTCTGGTGGGGATGGAGGCAGCTGGGGGTGAGTGGGCTCAGGGGAGGAGCCGAGGCCACAGCCAGAGCTGAGGAGGAGTCCAGCACCAGAAGAGGACAGAGAGCTTGGAAAGGAGACTCAGGACCCACAGGTGTGGCTTCTGGGGACAGGAGAGGACAGACCAATGGTCCTGCGTGCCCAGCAGCTGGAGGATGTCTCTGTGCACCTGTGCAGCCTTGCACAGGTTGGTCACCGCTTGTCATGAAGAAGGGACTAATGCCATTCTGAGGCATCATGTCCTAAGGCCATGAGGGTGTGCAGAAGACCATGCTCAGCTCTGTCTGGCAAACCAATGGGCAGACTTGCAGCAGTCCAGTTCTCTGTGAAAGCCCAGCTCAGTGCAGAGGGCAGCTTCAAAGCCACCCTTCCTCAGGCACCAAAGTAGGTACTGCAGGGAGCAGGCCCGGCCCGAGCCTGCCCAGGCACTGTGCCCAGGGCCCAAGCACAGCCCTGGCATTCTGTCCAGGGAACTCTGGGGCAGGCAGGCGGCTGGCTCAACCTTCTGCAGAGGGGTCCTGGCCCTGGTGGGCTTTGGGTGAGCTTCAGGGTCAGCAACAGAAGGAGGGAGCGTCACGTGGGGGGCCAGGGTGCTTGCCTCCAGTCCCTAGGGGTCTGAGCTGTCCCATAGCATGTTACCTCCCTATGGGACGAGGGCACTCTGCCAGGCCTGTGCAGGGGAGGCTGCCGGGAGTGCTCAGCCCACTTCCTGCAGCAGGGGAAGAGGAAGGAGGGGTGTCAGGAGTGCTCCTCAGGCACGGGCCTCTGCGTCGAGGCCGGGGATGGGCCGAGGGCTCCAGGGCTTCATGGTTCTTCTGCCACATCTGGTCACTCACACATGCACTCATCTGTCCACCATCCCTGTGTCCAGGAAGCTTTCCTGAGTGCCGGTCCTAAGGCACCAGGCCAACTAGGCCCCAGACCAGCAGAAAGCTAGTTCGAGTCACAGGTGCCATTTAGGGTTTCCTAGTAGCCACATTAAAAACGGGAAAAAAGTAAGACTTCTCTGTAATAAGATCTTCACTTAACCCAACTTACCCGAATATTACCCTTTTAATGCGTCATCAGTGTTGAATTATTAATAGGATAGTTGACATTCTTTTGTCCTAAGACTTCAAAAACTGGCATGTATTTTACATGTTCATCTCCCAGCCATTGAGAGGCTGAGGCAGAGGTTCATGAGTTGGAGGTCAGCCTGGCAACTTAATGAGACCCTGTTTCAAAATAAAAAAAGATCTGGGGATCCCAGTGGTAAGTGTCCCTGGGTACTGTGCCCAGAAACACACACACACACACACGCACACACGCACACACACACACACACATACGCGCACACACCCCCCAAATACATCTCTGGGTGGGTGGCTGGTGGCTGCCAACCTGCAGAACTAGGGATCCAGGCCATGGTCACAGCCCGACCCTCCCCACAGGCAGGCAGACGGGCAGCCAGCTGGGGATACCAGCCAGGTTTGGTGAGTCCCCGGGGATGCAGAGCAGAGGTGGGTCTGGAGTCTTCCACTCGGGTGGGCCTCAGGCCTCACTTTGTCACTGGTAGGTGCCCAGGCCCCTGGCCAGTAGCTGTGCTTGTAAGCACGATGAACTGACCAGGAGGAGAGGCCACCCTGTGCCTACTGCCTGGCAGAACGGAAGCCACGGTCCTGGGCAGAGGATGGGGGTGGATCTGCTGAAACTCTTGCATTCCACTCACGGAGCAGAAAGGGGCAGCTCTTGGGACCACCTGGCAGCATCTGGGAGCTCAGCCCCCGGGGCCTGGCAAACCTTTCTAAAGGTCCACATCTCCTGGGACTCCCCTCGTGGGGGCCAAGGGTGGGCCTGGGGGGCTCCCACAGCAGTGTCTGCAGAATATTGAAATCGGAACCAAACGCTCACCCACGAGCTACGTGGCGGGGACCACGCCACAGCCAGGACTGAGGAGCTGGCCCAGGAGTGCCGGAGGGAAACCGCCAAGGCCGTCAGGCAGAGAGCGGGGTCAGCAGGCCGTCCAGCAGCAGATGTGCCTAGCAGTGCAGGGCTGCCTGAGAGCACGCCAAGGCCTCAGAGGAGGGCCAGGGAGAAGGTGGGATCAGCACGGAGGACCAGGGGGACTCATCACAATGTTCTCTCTCTTAAAAAAATTAAGAAAATCAGCAAATGGCTGAATTTGGGGGAAGTAAATGGGTGCCTGTTAAAGTATTCTTTGTATTTTTCTATGCTTTAAATATTTTATGATAAAAAATTAAGGCTGGGTGTCGTGGTGCACGCCTGTAATCCCAGTGGCTTGGGAGGCTGAGACAGGAGGATCGCAAGTTCAAAGCCAGCCTCAGCAAATAGCGAGGCACTAAGCAACTTGGTGAGACCCTATCTCTAAATACAAAATAGGGCTGGGGATGTGGCTTAGTGATCAAGTGCCCCTGAGTTCAATCCCTGGTACAAATAAATAAATAAATAAATAAGAATTAAAACCCCTCTGCGTGAAGAAACCAAATCACTGTATGGCCTTGAGAAAGTCACCTGAATTCTATGCTTCAGCGTCCACCTCTGAGAGACAGGGTACAGCAGCACTGGGTCGGTGCGGGCAGAAACGTGGCCGTGTCTGGAAATGGAAGCCCTTGATCACCAGTGGTCTGCAGACTCACTGAGAGCTTACTGAGTGCCAGAAGCAACACACTCAGCGAGTCACAACGACAGTCAACTCTGTCCCCACCGAGGCACAGAGCCGCCAGTTGCCAGAGTCGCCCCGGTGGTGAAGGGGTGGAAGTGGGACTTGCGCCCAGCGGTCAGTGTGCAGTTTGCATGTCCCCACTCTGTGCACTGCACGGCGGCCAATGCTCACCTCCTCCCTTTTCTGGAGACTGAGAATCATTCTTGAAGCTTGCAGGTGCCAAACCGCCCACCAGCACTTGGCGCCCAGGCAGCCCCTTGAGAGGCAGGTGTGGCCTGCTCTGGCTGCTGGCGACACACAGCTGGCCCTCTCCCCAGCATGTACAGAGGCTGCTGGAAGAAGGGGCCGCCCACTGACTGGGGTGCCCCGAGCACATGGAGCCCAGCTTATTGAAGGAGCTGAGCACTTTGCAACCAGCGGCCCCATGGTGTGCCTCTGCCATCCAGACCTCTGACAAGGTGGACAAGTTCTGCCCAGGGTTTGTCCTGGCCACATGCACAGCAAGCTCAGCGCTGAGGGCCCTGGCTGAGGAGGACCAGGCTCACACCTGCTGAGGCTCCCGAGAGCCCCTTGCTCAGACAGTCTCCAGAAGCAGAAGAGTCGTGCAAGGAGGGAACACGGCCCCTCCATGCCCGCCAGCCAGAGCCAGCGGTTGGCCTTCTCTCCAGGCGACACTCCAAGCCACAGCTGGGCCAGGACCAGCAGAACAGCCTTGGCTTCCTTCAGCACAGACTTCTACAGTAAAGAAACCCAACAGGAGCCCACGTACGGCTGCTAGAGAGCAAAGATGACGCTTTGCATCCACCAGGAAGAGGTACGAAGCGCTGGCTCCTGAGCACCAGGGTGGAATCGAACACTGGGGAGGCTGAGCAGAGGCCAAGAGGGGTCTCCCCCTGCTCCCATGACGCCCCTCCCAGTCCCCAGTGGCCTCCTCCTACCTCTGAGGACAGGAGATCACTGGCTGTCTTGCACCCCAGGGACCTTGCTCAGGTCCA